CCGGATGCACGCACAATGCGCTCACGCCACAGTTTTCCATATCTAACTCTTGGCGTAATGACTCGGTAAAGCCACGCACCGCAAACTTAGTTGCATTGTAGGCAGACTGGGTCGGTTGAGCAGTCAAACCAAACAAGCTTGAAATATTGATGATATGCCCATCGCCTGTTTTCTTAATATAAGGCAAAAACTCTTTGGTGCCATAGACCACACCCCAGAAATTAATCCCCACGATCCATTCCAGCTCTTCATAGGATGCACCTTCTACGGTTGAACCCAAAGCAACGCCGGCATTATTAAAAATCATATTCACAGAACCATGATTTTGTACGGTTTCTTCAGCCCACGCTTGCATCGCTAAACGGTCTGAGACGTCTAATTTTTTCGTGGTGACACGTACATTGGTGCCTTGTAGCAGTTCAACTGTTTTCGCCAACCCTTGCTCATTGACATCACTCAATGATACATGACAGCCCGCCTTGGCCAATAAAAGTGCCAATTGTTGGCCAATACCCGACCCAGCGCCTGTAATGGCTGCGACTTTATTTTTAAAATTCTTCATGAGATTGTGGTTGTCCTTTATCTTTGTACATCGACTGTAGATGCTTTTTTTATAATTGACAATATCAATTGTCATAAATTTAATAGCCAAAAGTGTCAAGTCCATGAAAACCAGCTAGAGATTAAAGCCTACGCATAGGTAGAGTCGTGGTTTATTGCTAAACTATGCAAAACCTTGGCTTTCAAATAGGGCGATGAAATCTGATGACGGCATCTGAACCAGTACAACAAAACAGCGATAACAATAAAACCAAAGAAAGACAATTCAAGGGCTTATCGCTTTCTGAACGTAAACAGCTGCGTCGTGAAAAACTCATTGAAGCTGGCATTGAAGCCTACGGCACTCACGGCTTTTTTGCCGTGACGGTGAAAGATATTTGTAATGAAGCCAAACTTACTGAACGTTATTTTTATGAGTCGTTTAAAAAAAGTGAGCAACTGTTTCAAACCATTTTTTTAAAACTGATCGATGA